ACGGTGGGTGGTGGGAGGTAGGGTGAGACACACATATGCACACCTGTACACTTTTTGTAGTGTTGCATACTTTACCATGTGTGTTCCCTTGATATTCAAACACTTTACCTAAAAGGAGCTGAGATATAGAAAGATTTTATTTTAAGGGGCACATATCTAGTGAGTGTCAGAGCCAGGAATCAAACTTATACTTCCTAGGTCCTGGTCCAGGGCTCTTTTTACTATAGCAAGCTTCCTGTGTAACAGTCTCTATTATTTGCAAAAGCATACTTTACCATGTGTGTTCCCTTGATATTCAAACACTTTACCTAAAAGGAGCTGAGATATAGAAAGATTTTATTTTAAGGGGCACATATCTAGTGAGTGTCAGAGCCAGGAATCAAACTTATACTTCCTAGGTCCTGGTCCAGGGCTCTTTTTACTATAGCAAGCTTCCTGTGTAACAGTCTCTATTATTTGCAAAACCCCCTTTTTCTTTTTATTTACATCTTACAAGACGGTTACCCAAATTATTTTTATAAGGTCTTCTATTTTACAAAAACACCTGTCAGTCACTGTTCTTCCCCTAGCCATCTATATCAAAACCATCATTGTAAAGGAAAGAACAGAAGCCAGTGTATTCAGAGAGAAGGTCCATGTGAGGCCTTTTCTGGAACCTCTGTGATAAATATTTCTTGCTACTTTTGTGGGTGACTAATGCCTCAGAAGGACCATGTCCTAGGGAGAACAGGAAACTTCTGTTGCTGGCTCCCTGATAATTAAGGAATAAGATCCAAACTCAGTAGTCTGGCACTTAAGGTCATATTCTTTCTTCTGTCTAGAGAAAACCTACCCATCCTTCGGGGCCCTGTTATTCATCTCCTCCAAGGATTCTCCAGAGGGCATCTTCTCACCCACTCTTTGGTCTGGATAAGCATCTGAAGAACAATATCAGAGCTTCTAGAAAAGGAATGGAATATAGTGGACCCCAGGAAAAAGCTTGACTTGTAGAGATTTATAGGAAGGTGACTATTTCATGGGAGTATGCCAGGACTCTAGTCCACAAGAGGCTCAGATGGAGCTTAATGGGTGGGCTGAGCCCTCCTTGCTCCTGAGAATGGGCAAGTACAGAGAGTCCAAAGAGCAGGAAGTCCTCTTGCCACATTTTACAACCCCAGCCTACAAAGGCAGAGACCACATTCCCTTTCACTATCCGTGGGCCTGCAGTAGTAATTTAGGGTATTCCAACAGTCAGAAAATAACTTATCTAATGTGAGCCAGAAGCCAGAGTCAAGATCTGCCAGAATGGATGGAATATGTGCCCAGCAAAATAGAGCAACTGGGGGAAACAGATGAAAACTTGAATAAAAAAATAAAAGCAGATGAGAAGATTCAGTACCCCCCAAAATATTTCTAGAATGAAAAAAGAAAAAAAGAGATTTCTCAATTGAGCAATTCAGTAGATGCTTTAAAGGAGATGGTCAATGTTGAGACCTGAATTAGTGGCTAAGAAGATTAAGGTCAAGAAATATCTCAGGCAACAGAGTAAAAGCCTGAAGAGATGAAAATCTGTAAAAGGATAAGAGATTTGGAGAATAAATTCAGGAGACTCTGTTATGAGACTAATAAGATTTGTAGATGGAGGAAGAGGAATGGATAACTATTAACTCAATAGCTAATAGAATAAAAATTTCCTAAACTATCTCAGATTCTACAAATTGAAATAGTTCACTGTGTTAAAAGATGGGTTGATGAGAAAAAGCACATACCTATGTTTTGTAAAATCCCTAGTTCTGACAAATTTCCAGGTGGAAAAAATAAGTTATCTACAAAAGTTTAAAGAATCAGAATGGCATGAAGTTTCTATCTACAATCTGGAAGTTAGAGGAGAGTAGACTAGCACCTACTGACTGGGAGAAAAGGAATGCAATTCAATTTTCATACACCCAAGTGAGACAGATAATGTATTGCACTTGTCAGGGCAAAAATACATATATTTGAGGATATGCAAGAATTCTGAGACACATCACCCAGATACCCATCTGTCAAGACTCGAGGAAAGGCTCTAACGAAATAACAAATGTCCCAGAACAGATGGAGAGGAAACAGTTGTAAATAACAAACTTTGTAAAATATAGAATTAAAAATGATTGGGTAAAAAATATGAATAATAAGGATAGATGGAGAATGTATAATGTAAGTGTTAAGAACTTTTAAAAGAAATTACTTTGAGGGAAATTCTAAATAATAATGAAGCACTAAATATACTGAATAAACTATCTCTGAAAAATTAGGAATTGAAGGTGCTTAAGTTCTGATTTTATTGGTGAGTGCCTTGGTGGGGAAAACATCCAGAAGAAGAGGGGATACTATCTAATGGGGAAATAGATGATATTTAGTAGAAATGTATCTGATTTTGAACTAGAGAACTTCCAAATTAACAACAGGAAAAGAACGATGAACAGTTAATAAAGGCAGCAAAGGAAATACAAGGAAAAAGAGAAAACAAAAATGTTTAATAATAAAGTGGAAGAATAAAATCAAACATATTAGTTATTACAGTATATTTAAACAGATAAAGTCTTTTAAAACTCAGAGATTGCCAGATGACTTCAAAAAGATAGAATCTATAAAGAAGGTGTAATAATTATGAGCCTGAATGTGTAAAACAACAAACAGCTAAACTCGAAACTCAAGGATAAATTGGTAAAAAATGTAGTCATAGTGGAAGACTTCAGTACATCTCTCTCAGAATTTAAGTGATATAATAGAAAAAAAATTAATGAAGACACAGAAGAATTGAGTAAAGCAACCAGTAAACTCGATATAATAAATTCTGCGATAGAGTATATAGTTTTAGGTTCATGGAACATTTACAAAATTAATGAAGTACTTGTCACCAAACAAAAAACTTGGCAAATTTTAAAAACCAAGGATTTTATGGGTCATGTTTTCTTAATCACATGTCAATAAAATTAAAAATAAATAATAAAAAGATATTTTGACCTCCACCCAAAATCCCTTAATTATTTGGAAGAAACACCATTTGAGATAACCCGTGGATCAAAGTGTATTTCAAAAAGGAAATTAAAAGGAAAAATAAAAGAATAACATTAAATGTGTTCACTATTAAAGAAGCAATATGAAAAAACAAAGGAACTAGATATTCATTGAAGAAATTAGGAAAGCAACAAAATATAAACCCAAATAAACTGATGCTTTGCCAGTTGACTATAGCCACATGAATGAGCTCAGGTGAGATCAGAAGAACTGCCCGACTAATTCCACATCAAATTATTGACCTATAAAATAGGTCGTAAATAAAATGATTGTTGTTTTAAGCCACTAATATTTGGGGGTAGTTTGTTATGTAGCAATTTATAACTGATGCAAAAAATCTCAAGAAGGGTGAGGCTCCTTCTCTATTCTACCCTACTACCTCTCCTGTTATACTTGTAACACTGTATTATCTGTCTTTCTTCCTCAGCTGACTGGGTTCCTAGAGTATCCTAGTCATCTCAGTATCCCATTCCTATCATATCACTTAAGTGCTCAGTTGAGGTTTGTTGAGTAAATGATTGGTCACACATTTAAATGGGATATTGCAGAGTCTGAGCCTTTGAAAGAGGCCGGAGAGAGAAGCATTTTAAGGAGAGAAAAGGAAGAAGTGAGGATAGCTG